GAAAACAAAACATCTCTTGTCCTACTACTTCTTGAAACTTTCAGTCTGGCTTCAGTCTGTACTCTACCCACACACTAAGAGAGTTAACACTTTGAACAATCACATTCTGTTTGCCCAGCTCAAGGAATACATCAGTATTCTTTTCCTCAAACTCCTTGTGATGCCAAGGAACCAATTTTCAGTAGAATCCTCCAGGGTCCCATGCTGTGTAAAGCAATGACCTGGTAAAGAACAACTACCCCTGGGGATACAGTTATCGCCTACATGTAGAAACACCCACTTTTCTTTCTCATTTTGTTTTTTTGTTTTTTTGTTTGGCAGGGCACATTTTCCTTAATAAGCTTAATAGAAGCACATTTCTTATCTCTTTTCGACTTTCCCTTGGGGTCTGGTTCTCATTAGTTTATCTAAACCCTCCAACAAGGGAGCCTCTTACCTCACACCTCTTCCTTTATACTTCTGCCTGCCTTTTCTGTTTCTTTGTAACATCTAGAGCTAGCAGCAATATTTCTTCTGCTCTCACATGTTCAGATCTTCCCATGGCAAGAATCATGAGCAAGAATCTATATTTCACAAATGTTGCTCCACCGATACCACAGCTGACATGTCTCCCCTTCCTCTAGCTCCAAGTCCATCTGCCAGCTTCAACGTTCTGTCCATCCCACACTTTCAAATCTTTTTCAAACTGCCACCTATATTAAGAGCCTTCTCTTCACCCATAACCTGTTAGGCAACTTCTTGCCCATAATTTCCACCTTTTCTAAAACCTCGCCTCCTCCATGTAGCCTCCTTGGATGAAGCAGGACAATAGGGTACACCCTCTGCATCACTCGTAGGCTACAGGGATAATTCTTTTTATTATGTACTTGAACTTGCTTCCCCTCTGCTAATGCACAAATATCTAGACCTTCTTAGGTATTTTACTTTTAGTCACATGTATTTTAAGCATTCTGTTTGAAAATTTTGTACAGGACACATGGGTACCAATTTTCTTTCTGACAATCTACTATTAAAAGACTGGCCTTGACCATGTAATTCTATTTTAGTAATTCCTAGGACAAAAATCATGCACCGATACTTGCATTGGTTGCTTACTAAGCACTTTCAGACAATGATGCTGCCTACTAAGGAAATACTCAG